TTATCCAGAGAAGAAAAGAAACGCGACAAAGAAAATCAAAATATTTGTGGAATTGTTGCAGTGTACGATCTCCAAGCAGTGATGCAGGTACCGAAAGGAGATGTTTCGGTTTTTTATTATAAATCTAAACTTAACGTATTCAACTTCACCATTTATGATTTGCAAAACAACAGTTGCGAATGTTTTGTATGGGATGAATCAATTGGCCATCGTGGTGTAAACGAACTTGGAACTTGCGTTCTAAAATATTTACAGAAAAAGGCCACCATGGAAGACGCAGAAGTAATATTTTATTCTGACAACTGTGTGGGTCAACAAAAAAACAAATTTATGTTGGGGTTGTACCTTTATGCGATCCGATTCTTGGGTATCAAGTCAATCACCCACAAGTATTTGATCAAGGGGCACACCCAAAATGAGGGTGATTCAGCCCATTCTCTCATTGAGAGACAAGTAAAAAGGCAATTAAAGGGGGGTCCAATTTATAATACAGATGGATTTATAGCCGCTATTAAATCTGCCAAAAAACAAGGAACGCCTTTCTCTGTCAATGAACTTTCGTTTGAGGATTTTATTGACATAAAACAGCTAACTTTGGATATTGGACCTCTAAATATGACAAATTTCAAAATTTCTGAAGTTAAGGTATTGCAAGTTCTTAGAGAGTCTCCCAATTCTGTAAGATGTAAAAGATCCTACAGCGATGAATTCCAAGAAGTTCAAGTAATCAAAAGAAAAAAGACCGAAAACTCTAAACTCACATTAAAGCCGGCATTTTCCAAAAAACCAGGTCTCCCAGAATCAAAAAAATCTGATCTTATGGATTTGGTAAACAAAAATCACATCCCAAAGTATTACACAAACTTTTATCAAAACTTGTAAGCGTTTAGTTACCTATTTCTATTTTACAAGCGTCTATTAATATTTGTAAGCCGTAAGTTTTAGTTGATTTATGTTCCTTTTTCAGTATTTTTATTTTGTAGTATTGTTATTTTGTATCGTTTTGCTTAGATAATGTAATATTATCAATGTTTCTAAGTATTAATATTTACTAACTTAGCATTTAGTTGATTTATGTTCCTTCTTCAATATTTTTATTTTATAGTTTCGTTATTTTAGGCGTATTTTCAATAAAATGTCTAACCCAAAATATTTTATTAATGTTTCTTCCCCAGTAAGTATTTTTATTTTTGTAATTTTTTTATTTTGTAACTTCTTGTTTATGACAAGTTGACATACTTATTAAAATTATTTGCCAAAAACTGTGTTTAAATAGTGACAAGATCGTCATATTTTAATTTGTACCTCTTTTACAAATGCATTTACGTGACAATAACGTCACAAAATGGAACATTTTTTAATATTTTGATCTTATTAACCCTTAGAATTAAAAAAACACTTTTTTTTCAATTGATTCTTAGACAAAACAATCACATTGTCTAATGGTTTTAAGCATTTTTTTTTTCAATAAGTTTAAAAAAATTTTAGCTGCATCCAAAACTTAAAATTGAATTTTCTTGAAAATTAGTTTTTTGAGATATGACATTGTTGCATTTAATGAGCGATATGTAAAAGACATACAGTCACCCAAGCGTATTATCAGTACGAACAATTTGCGAGCATTGCAACAATATATTTCTCAAAGTCGAACAGTATTCTTCCCTATTTTCTAAATAATACATAATTTACAGTCTTCTTCTCCCATGTCACATATTCAGTATTCTGAAGAAGATCAAAATAAACTTTACGGCAAATCAGTTATTTAGCTATCGAAAATCGCAAATGTTTTTAATCGAATGCCTGTTTTAAGAGTAACTACCTAGTCTATTTTACTTTTATTCTTTTTGTTTATTTTTAGTTTGTTTTGAAAAAGTCATTAAGAAAATGTTGTTTTTATTTTTGGGATACCTAATTAATTTCTAGTTATTTACATATCATTTAATTATTTATCTTACTTAAAAAAAAAAACGGAAAGCCTTTCATTAATACCGATTGCATGGCGAAATTTTTATGTTACCGCCGTATATTTGGTTGCAATAGAGTAACAAATTTGGTCAATTTTTCTGGGGCCATTCTATAATACTAAAAAAAATTTATTTTTGAGCAAATTGCAATGAAGGTGTTAAAGTGAATCAAAGGTTTTCTTTTACGATTTATATTACGTCCTTCTATTTTAGGTACTAGACATGCAATAACAAAATCTTCTGAACTGTTAATCGATGTTACTACTTCAAAAACTATCGTACAATACGTGACTATACACCTATTCTCTGTTCACAAATTGTTGATAGCACGAAATATGCCTCAAAATTATCAAACGGTTGTAAAATTTGTATCATCATATGCGTTCCTGAGGTGTTTATTCATTAGAATTAATATTAATGTTAACAATGTTTTAATACTGATATATTTAGTAAAAAACAATTAAAATTTTCACGGCTAATGTTGGTTATTATATTACATTAATAAAAATAATAATTTAACCATTAACAATTTTGTAAATAAGAATACCTTATCTCTTTGGATATTTCAATACTAATCTTTGCGTTTAATCACTTTACTAGAAAACCTGTTTACTAGAAAAAATATCATCAAGTTTTACACCGGTACTGTTGCGTACAGTCAGTAAGTCTGTCTATTCACCAAGAGAGAAGACTATTGTCCTGAATATTCACGATGCTCTGGTTTCTCAGAATCCCACAAACACTGTTCGCAACATAGTCGAAAGTTGTGCCAACATGACTGACGTAGGGGAGTCAACTATATATAGGTTCCTATCAGAAAGAAAAAACACGGTATAGCTAACCCAAACACAAACAAACACTTAAAGAGAGGGAAAAAGCCTATTGAACATATCGGACGAACTAAATTGTGGCAAGTTTTAAAAGAATTAAATTTCCGGTGGGAGAAATCAGAACGAAAATCACTTTTGACTGACCGGGAGGAGATAATATGTTGGAGAAGAAATTATCTAAGATCCATACGAAAATTCCGGGCTGAAGGAAGGCCAATCTTCTACCAGGATGAATCGTGGGTAAACTCAGGTCATACTATAAAAAAAGTTTGGTCAGATAAAAATATATTAAGCTCCAGGCAAGCCTTTATGGAAGGTTCGTCTACTGGTATCTCCCCACCTTCTGGTAAAGGCAGTAGATTAATAATTTCTCACATTGGCAGTGAAAAAAGATTTGTTAAGCATGGTTTGTTGGAATTTCAGTCCAAAAGCACAAAAGACTATCACGAGGAGATGACAGCTGATGTTTTCGAAGAGTATTTTGTGCAGATGATTGAACACATACCACCAAATTCAATTATAGTATTAGATAATGCACCTTATCATTCACGACTAGTAGAAAGACTTCCAACGACTGCGTGGAAAAAACAGGATATTCTTGACTGGCTGCAGAATGAGTACCTGCCTTACGAAGATGGAATGGTAAAAGCAGAACTTTTAAAAATTGCCCGGCAACACAAATCTAAGTTCAAGAAATACGTAGTTGACAAAATGGCGGAAAGGAGAAACATCACAGTCCTTAGACTTCCACCCTACCACTGCGAAATAAATCCAATTGAACTCATTTGGGCACAAATGAAAAGTTATGTGGCTAGAAAAAATACGTCATATAAAATACAAGCTGTACGTGAATTGTTATACGAGTCTTTACAACACATTACAGAACAAAACTGGAAAGATGCAGTAAGACATGTAATAGAAGAAGAACAAAAAATGTGGGATCTTGATAACATAATTGATGCGACCGTAGAGACACAACCGCTAATTATTAACCCTCAAGACGACTCGGATTCCGAAGTTGATCCTATTTATTTTGAGTTTAAATAGTTTTCTAATCGTAATTATATAAGGTAAGTGATAGTAGTTGAAATCGTAAGGTATTAAAGGGGAAAGGCGCAAAACGTCGCCTGTCAAAATGTTCAATGCGTTTTAAATGTATCGATTTTTTTTCAAATCCTGAGAAAACTAAAAAGCCTTTTTGGAAAAATTTAAAGGCAGAATATAATATTTATTAGAATAAATAGAAAGTTTCTTTTGCATGCAATATTTTCAATTAAAAATTATTCTATATTCTTTTTTTATTTTCACCCCTGTTGCATAACATAATAAAATAAACATTGTAGAAGTTTTCAGGGACTTTCTGTAATATACATCAGTATACACATATATAATACCCTCAGTAATAATGTTATCTATTATTCTGCTTTTAAATTTTGCAAAAATATTTATTAGTTTTCTCCGAATTCGAAAATATTGGATACATTTAAAACACATTTGGTGCCTTTCCCCTTAATTAAATAAATGTATCTTTTACAAATGGCAAAAAGCTTTATTTTTTAATAAAATGTTTTATTTTATTATAAGTTTTATTAAAACAAAAATACAATTTCAAAAATATATTTATTTAGTTTAAATAAATGTTTCAATCATATACTCTACGACACTGGTCGGCCAAAATACGTTCCTAATCGGATTATAAGCTTGACCGCTGTATTGTATTCCGGCAGATACAAGGTGGGTTAGTCGAAAACATCTTAAATCGTCAGTTTCAGGTTGGTTTTTACTATGATATCGTATTACCTATCCTCTCTGTATTTCAGTTCTCTAATTAGGATTAAACTTGTAGTGAGCTATCAACAAATTGTGAACCGAGTATACTTTAACGCCAAAGTACAACTGCCTTTGAATCTAAACCGAACAACGTACTGTAGTATATAAGCAAAAAACCGTACACATATAGTCGAACATTTCAAAAGTTCGCCGCGCCGTGCTTCGCTATGCTCTGCTACTCCGCGCTTAAGTGAGCGACAAAGCTTTAAGCGATCACGCGTATGTCTTATTTTATTATTCCTTTGCTAAAGTATAAATTTGCATGAAATGTTATGAAAGGCAGTTTTCTGTAAAAGGCAGTAGATACTTTAACTGAAGCTTTAAAATAATAAATCATTTTATGTAAATATTACACATTTAATATTGTTTGTTTTAGATCGAAATGGAGCAGTAATCCTCATTTTTGTGGCTCTTATGTCTTTAAAAGTATAGATCAAGAAAATCACAATGCAACGGCTGAAGATTTAGCTCGACCAATAATTTCTAAAAAGTATAATAAACCTAGTTTACTTTTTGCTGGAGAAGCTACAAGTACAAATCACTTCTCAACCGTTCACGGAGCTATTGAAACGGGTTTCAGAGAAGGAGATCGATTAGCGGAAATATTACAGAAGGCATAAAATTCAGCTATTTTTTGTAAAATTATCAAACATCCTTAATAAAATTAATATATAAAAATACAAACTATTCACTTGTTATATCGCGTTGATCGTTTATCAATTATATATATAATGAAGAATCGTTTAGAAGAATAAAAATTCTATAATTATCTACACTTGAGTGCAAAACAATCGGCTAGAAAGCGAGATTTGAGAATACACCTCCTCTTTCAATGTAAAAGTGTGAAAATAAATATATTTAATATGCAAACAATAACATTATTATTAAACTTGCAAAAGCTTCTATTGAATTAAAACAATAATATGCAATACGATCAGAGTTTCCTTAATATTCATCATGAGAACGAATGCAATAACGACGTTTTGATCAATTAAAGCATCAATTACAAAAAGGAATTTTTTTATTTTCATTATTTAATATTACTATCTTTACAACTTATTACACTTTCCCACTAATTTCGCATGAATCAGATTACTTTTTTCATACATTCTTTGCATTTCTCCATCGCATTCTCGCATTACTTCTTATTCATCGTATTGATGCATGATCGTAGTTCTCGATTCCATTACTCTCCTTGATGTTAGATTTTTATCGCAGACTCTTTTTTAAGCTCATTTTAAACATGATCTATAGAATTTAAGGCCGGGCTCAACGCAGGCTAATTTATTATAGGTATACGATCTTTTTGAGATAGGTGATGGTGACTCATGCAGTGTGGCATCGTGCAATATTGTGCATTAAAATAAAGATCTCACCAAATTAATCCCGCCTATGGAAGCACACGTTCCTCCAAAATATCTCAGATGTAACGATTAGCCGTTAAACCTCCTCCACATCCTTCAACTAACACGAAAACTATGGAAATGCCTTCTTAAAACATACAAGAACCGCCTCCATGTGAAACAGTTTCTCGTATACAATATTAAGCAAATCCCTCTTCTGGCCTTCTATAGACTCGACGCTTCTTGTAGTTGCCGCAACGGCAGAGACTACTTTTAAAGGAGAATAATAACTGACTCCATTAATAGTCTTCTCCATCCAGACGTTCGTGAGCAAATTCTAATCGCCTTTGTCTATGGTCTGCAGTTATCTTTGGACCAGTAGCTACCTTTTTGGTGTCTGATTAGCTGCCTTCAGTCTCGTTCTGACTGCCAAATGCTCGTCATCACACTGCGGACCTTTCTTAGCTCTTCTTTGAGATTAGCACAAGTCAAATGTCAAATTCTCAGCGATTTTGATACAGGAAATCGATCAACTCCCTTCGTTATTATTTGACTTGAGCTGCTTGATATGGTATCTATTTGTAATGTACTTACGAACTTGCTAAAAATGACTGATGTATTAGTGAATTGCTGTAGAAATTAATGGGTACGGTGTTAACTGAAACAAGTCGGTGCATGTTGAATTCAATGAGTAAAATTCTGACCCATCTCTACGTAATGCAATATTTATTATTAATACGTCATTTTATTTACAAAAAAAACTGTTTTAAAACTCAATATTAAAATTAAAGATTGCATACTAAATATTTTAAAATTTATACGTTTTGGATTTAAACAGAAGACATACTTTTATAAAATTAGTTTGAGTCTATTATTTTGCACGAATATTTAGCGTCACTGGATGGTGATGCTAAAGAAACGCTCATCGATAGTAAATGATAGAATAAAAAAACGACATAAAAAAGAAACAGATGTGACTAGCTTTTCAAAGTACTTCTAAAATATTTTAAAAGGAGTTGAACCAGTGCTTCATATTACTTAACAATATCTGAAAAATTACTCAATTTGGCCAAGATATTATTTTCCGAAAAATCAAAACTCCACTGAAATTTCTCCGAGGACTGTAAAGTCGACTCTAAACAGACAAATACAATCTCGACTACAAAGAGTCTTATAAGTAGAGACCTGAATATATACAAAGTGCATATAGATGACTATATTACATATTTTTGCTAATTTTAAACAACATTGCATACATAAGCTACACATGATTTAATTGAAATTTTATTTATAACTTTGATATGAATGAGCATATTAGCTATCTACGCTTTCATAATACTGCCTGAATTAAATTATTGTTAATTTTCAAATAAAAAGATTATTTTCCTAGGGTAGAAAATCTTAGGTACCTACCTATTAGTGGGTATCTAGGATACGATATATATTATCAAAATTGTGTTTTGCCGAACCCAATAAACCTACCAGAGCAAATAAAACTTATTATAGAGATGATAATATTTCCTGCTTGAAGGCAAGTTTTATGAGAGCTAGAAGTGATTCTTAAAAAAGTTAACAAAGAAAATCAAACTGCCAAAATTACCAGAAGAATAAGATTAGCGTGGGCAGGTATTGGAAAACTGAGTTGAATCTTAAAAAGCAATAAAATAGAACAGTATTTAAAAACCAAAAGACGCAAGAAAACATGCTGCCAAATTAAAATGAAGCTTCGCAGGATACAATGCCCGACTAAAGGATAACCACAAAATACAACAATGGAGGCCATGGTTAGGAAAGAGAAGCAGAGGAAGATCACAAATGAGATGGGCGAATGGTATTAAGAAGATCGGAAGACACAACTGGAAGCAGGTGGCGCAAAATAGAAGACACTGGATAGATTTTGGGGAGGCCTATGTCCAAAGTGGGATTATTGAAGGCTGAAGAAAAAGAAGAAAAAGTGATTCTACCTCTTAAGCAATTACTGAGTCTATAACAAAATTCAAAGGGGGATCTAGATTAAAACAGTATATGCCCCTCAAACCCATAAAACGTGCCATAAAGTTATGGACAAGATGCGATTCTGAAACTGGCTATGTTAACGATATAAATGTGTATTCAGGCATAAATCATAATAATATGGCAAGTACTTTTGGGGGAACAAGTCGTAAATCAGTTATCTTCAACAATTTCTAATGAAAATGTAATTTTCTTCGACAGATTTTTTACAACAGTTCATCTTAGGGACACCATTATGTTTCCTGCTATCGGTACATGCATTGGTACCCAAAACGCTAAATCAATGAGAGTCGCAAGTAAAGATAAATGAAACTGAAACATTAACTATATATTTCTCAGTAAAAACACCTATTGTGATATATTATAATCCCATTCAACATTTATTGCCCATTACAATAAATTTCGTACTAAGCATCAATATTAAATTATGTACTCACCTATCTTAATCTTTTATAATTACCAATCAGCAATCAAAATTCTCCTTCCGTCAACATGTTATAAACACAATTTTATATGATCGTACTCACAACGTGTTCACATTACACTAAATTTTGACCAAAATATCCTGTTCTAACGCAGTTTCAAGACAGTTTTTGACATTCAGATATTTCAAACATGTGTTGGGATATAAATATATAAATATATATATATATATATATATATATATATATATATATATATATATATATATATAGGAGTGAAAGGGTTAAGAATGGAATAAGTCGATTATAATTCCTACACACAAAAAAGGTGATAAAACTGAATGCGCAAACTATAGAGGAATATCCGTATTAGAGGTAATATATAAAGTGCTTGCTATACTAACTAAAAAACGATTAGAAATATACGTAGACAAGAATCTAGGAGAATACCAGGGAGGATTTGGAGAAGAAAAATCAACAACCGATCAAATTTTTATGGTTAAACAAATCCTGATCGATTTCTATGAATACAACATTTTAGCACAAGTACTTTTTATTGATTACAAAGCCGCTTACGATGCAATAGACGGATACAAATTAATAGAAACGCTAGACGAATTCCAAGTGCCAGAAAAAATAGTAAGATTGATAAAAATGACAATTAGACAAACTATTTGTGCTGTGAAATGCAACGGTACAGTGTCAGAAAAATTTCAAGTGAAAAAAGGTGTTAGCCAAGGAGACCCGTTTTTTACATCGCTATTCAATATAGTTCTAGAAAAAATTGTAAGAGTAAGTGGGATAAATAGGTCCGGCACTATTTTATACAAGGAGTACCATTGCTTAGTATACGCTGCTGATGATGTGGTTCTTATTGCAAGAAATGGAAAAAAACTAGCAGATATAGCAAAAAGACTGATTAAAAGCTCTAAAATTGGACTACAGGTTAATATAAATAAATCAAAGTACATGGAAATCTCGAGCAAAAAAAAGAATAAACACCAGGGGATCCTTTACATTGAAGGTGGACGATAGATCAGTTATAAAATTCAAGAAGGTGGATAAATATATAAGGAATTGAGAAGACGAACTAATGCAGACGTGTACCATCTGTATGCTAACCTTACTATAACAAAAGTGGTGATAAACAAAATTGCTCAGATATCTAGAAATAATGAAAGGTAATAGACTAATTAAGAATATTGATTGGAGAGTACCTGAGGGCAAAAAAGAGAGTGGAAGATCAAGACCGAAATAGAGAGACGTAGTGATGGAATATGTCAGAGAGATAGGAATCAGATATTAAAAGCTGATAGCTAAGAACAGAAAACGATGAAAATTATTAATCCAGCAATAAGCCTAAAAGGCTTGTTAACGCTGTACGCACTATTTGTTTTAAACGCTCTATCCCTAAACATTCCTTCCCTTAGATGGCTGTAGTTTTCGCTGTGGTTATTATTAGTTTTGCCCTGGAAATTAGTAGGTGCTACAAATTGGTCGCATTGTCCTGTAGTGATCGTTTTCCAAGTTAACATGATCCTCTTGTATCTTAGCCGCATCGTACTATCAAATTCGTCAGAAAAGACTCAATGTTTCCAGTTTTGGAAGCTTCATTTATTCTGTTCCATTATCCAATGATATCTGCGTATACATTGATCCACCATCAAATGATATTTACTTTCCTAAAGAAGATCTCTTTGACGCTGTTACTAACTAAAAAACTATTACCACTCCTCTTCGATTATGCAGGTATATTAGCAATAAACAGAATTAACAAATAAAAAGATTATCTTATGAAATTTTCACGTGAATTATCAATGTCACTAAGGTACAGTTAAAAATTCGTTATTAAGCGTGTAATTTAAAGCAGAATAAAAAGGCAACTGTAGTATTTT